CCGCCTCAATTCAGGCAATCTTCCCAGCTCCTTTACATTACCGAGCAATGCAACGTCTGAAGACTCGCTCCTTACGTCACTCTGCGTCTTACGATCAACTGATCTCCTTGACAGACGAAGTCCGACTCAAATTGAACTGGTGGCTACATCCTAGAATCAGATGCCAGTCTTCTGGGCTGGGGTGCATCATGCGCAAATCTCTCTACCGGAGGTCCTTGGTCCCCATCAGAACGGGCATTGCACATCAATTGCCTCGAGTTGATTGCCGGGTCCTTTGCCATTCGCAGTTTCGCGAAGGACTCCTACAATTGTTCCCTAGTACTGAGAATGGACAACATCTCAGCTGTTCAATACGTGAATCGTTTAGGGGGATCCCGTTCCAAAATGCTCTCAGACCTCACAAAAGAACTGTATCAATTTTGCCTAGACAGGAACATCTCCCTTCGAGCGGAGTATCTGCCAGGTTCCGACAACTTAGTCGCAGATTGGTTCTCTCGACACTGGAGAGACTCCAGCGACTGGCAATTAGATCCACACGTTTTTTACCGTCTCCATCTTCTTCGGGGTCCTTTCAGCCTCGACCTGTTTGCGTCTCGTCTGAATCGACAGACGGACGCATTTTTCAGTTGGTTGCCGGATCCGACGTCTCTGGCAGTAGACGCCTTCCTTCAAGCTTGGCCAATGACCGGAGCTTATGCCTTTCCCCCGTTCTCCATGATCCTTCGCACTCTCCATCATCTCAGGACTCAGGGGGCCACAATAACACTGCTGACCCCTTTGTGGCGTACCCAACCATGGTTCCCCAATCTCTTAGAAATGTCGGTGAATTATCCACTACTGCTACCTGTCACACACGATCTTCTCAAAGATCCCGCAGGCAATTTTCACCCTCTGGCGTTGCAGGGTCATCTCCAGCTAGTGGCCTGGACTGTTTCAGGGGATCCTGGGATGCCACAGGACTTTCGGAGTCGGCTAGAGCACTCTTATGGGACTCATGGGCCCCCGGGACTAGACGCTCTTACCTCTCAGCCTGGCGAGTTTGGCATCGCTGGTGTTTGGAAAGGGGTTTTGATCCCGTTTCAACTTCTTTGATTAATGTTATGAACTTTCTGTCCTCTCTTTTTGATCAGGGTAAATCCTACAGATCCATTAACGTCTTTCGTTCAGCAATCTCGGCAGCTCTTGGCCCCGTTGATAATACAGCGATAGGTAAACACCCCTCCATCTGTAGACTGTTGCGTGGCATTCGTCTTGCTCGACCTCCTGCCCCAAAATATTCACATTTTTGGGATGTTGCTCTTGTTTTGTCCTTCCTGGAGACTTGGCCACCCAATGAAGCGCTCCCTTTACGACAACTGTCGGCCAAATTAGCTCTTCTTCTCTGCTTGGTTTCTTTTAGGAGAGTGTCTGATATTCAGGCATTTGACTTTCATGCTATTGATTTCACGCCCCAGGGTGTACGTTTTAACATTTCTCGCCGAACAAAAACTAATTCTTTAACAATTACTTACCCTTATTTTTCTGACAGACCGTCGCTCTGCGTTGCTCGCTGTGTTCAACAGTACGTCGTCTCTACATCACCTCTACGTACCCCTACGGGCCCCCTGTTTATCTCGTATGTGCGACCACACAAACCAGTGTCTTGTCCCACGATTGCCCGCTGGATTAAATGGCTTCTAGGTTTAGCGGGCATAGACTCCTCTTTTGGAGCTCATTCTGTCAGAGGTGCGGCTGCATCCTCCGCCTTTATGGCCGGGGGATCCCTCGCAGACATCCTAAAATGCGCTGACTGGTCTCGAGAGTCTACCTTCCGTACCTTCTATTTTCGACAATCGTCCCATGCTTCCTACTCTTTGGTTTCCACGCTTTAAAACAGCAAATATGAAGCCTCCTGTCTTGCCATAAAATTCGGGATTATTCTAGCTTTAGCGACTGAATAATCTAAATTTTATTAAAGACAGGAGGCGAATATTTTCCCACCCTATTTATCTCCCATCCCAGTTTTTTCTTTTATCAAGTCGCATGTATCCATAAAATTTTTCAAGTTTTCCTTGTATAGACTTATATATGCCTAACTGTTTTGTTCCCATTTATTCTGGTTAGGTGCTTATTCATCTGCCTGGTTTTTCTGACTATTTTAGAAATTTGCAATAGTTATACTCATAATATCCAGGGGGTGGATCTGTGTATATAGATATCTTGCGGACACCCAGTCCAAGTACCCATACTTTCACGATCTTTCTCTGTTTTTTAGTGTGAAGTTTCTCTACATGAACCACGAAGACTACGTTCCCTTGGTCTCTAATCTCGACTGCGTTTTTTCCGGTTTACATGGTTGATGACTTACTCCAGTTTACACGGTTGACTACACTTATGATCGGCTGCATCAGAAAGAGGATTTGGGAGGAGCCTGAAAGACTGTTATGTTCTAATATGTGTCCTGATTGGTTGATTTTTTTTCTCACTTATGTTAACTGTTTCTTTGCTGCTGGGAGGTTCAGTAAAGAAGGTAAAGCAAATATTCGCCTCCTGTCTTTAATAAAATTTAGATTATTCAGTCGCTAAAGCTAGAATAATCCCGAATTTTGATGACAGTTCTATGAAAGCACAGGGATTTTCATTTGAAATCTAAACAACAAGGATTGTCACTTGTGTTATTTTTCCTTAAGATGGTTGATCTGTAGATTAGCACAATAGCTGGAGACACAATTTGCCCTAGAACCTTGTGCAGCTTTGCCTTATAGAGAATACACACAGGTTTTCCTGCCAAAAATTTGTCCACAAGCATATTTGTAAGATTTGCTTGCTTTATGTGCAAGTTGACATTGGCACTTGCTCAGAATAGATACATTGACTACAATAATTACTAAAATTACAAGGAGACTTTATTAACATTTGATTTCCCTCGATAAACGTAACCTCTTGTTAGGGGTGGAAAGTTTTAGGGGGTGCAATATTACCTGTGTCTTCCTGGTATCAATCTGTCACGCATACGGACACCGTGCATCATTCTTGTGTCCATACTGACGCCGCTCGTCATTCTGGTGTCAACTGTAACGCAGACTACTTTACATTGGTCACGTCTTGTACACACAAGAGCTTGTATAATTCTTCTACACTATGGAACTCTGCGTCAATCTGGAGTCATCGGTCACACCTTTCTGGCATCAAAAACCCAACACTGACCAACAGTGGCTCATTACAAAATATAAAACATCCTGGATAACATTGGTTCATTGCCCTGTCATGGTTCCTATATACCCGAGAGTGCATTTCTTTTGTTATTGGTTTATTTGGCTTCTGGCTATGGTTCATTTGACTATTTTTGATCTTTTTAATCCTGACCTTGGTTTATTCCTCGTATTTGTGTCTTTTTTAAATCTTTAGATCTATGTTTACCATTACTCTCTGTCTGCTTGCAGACATTCTGCCTATCTTTACTCCGTGCCAATTTAAGGACCAGTACGTGCTTCTCTCCTCATTGCAGCATTTACCTAGGTTTGTGTGTTAGGGCTATATAAGTAAAATATCATGAAACAGCAGTACTGCCAAATACCAGGACAAGCCCCGATAAAGCTCTAGAAAAGCCAAAATTATAAATTGTGCTGCCCTACATTCATCGTCCTGAGTTCTCAGTACTACAACAGCCAAGGACTTGGAGGCTGTGTGTGTTTTTATCACTGAAGTTCTGGCATTCTACAATTTTATTAAAGACCCGGAGGCTCCGATTATGCTGCACTCTTTCTTTAATACCCTCAGCAGCAAAGAATACATTATTTTAAGAAAAATAAACATTTGAACCAGATATAACATCATAGTGGCAATGTCCGCCTAGTAACATGACCATCCAATCAGTGACATCCTTCTCCTATAGTAGGCGGAGCATCGATGACCATTTCCCCTTTCTTTGCTGTTACCCTCAGATAAGTAGACCTCTCACAGTTCTCCCACTGTGGGATTCTCTAATGCTAATTCTATTTGATATGCTAATTGTACTTAAATCGTATTTAATTGTTTCTTTATACTAATACTAGATTGCACTATTTAATAGTCTGTTATAGTAACCTACATTCATGGGTACCTTTTATTGGTACTGATGGGACTGTACCTTTAAATAAAATTTCGTCTCTATTATACATTTAAATACATTTTCAATGTTCCTCTATTCCCCTCTGTCATGACTTGACCCTTTATTCTGGGTGCCCTGATTTTCAGGGACTTTGCAGGTCTTGGGGGTCATTTCTCCAGTACCCGTTTATTTTCGCGGGCATTTGGCCCGACCGCGCATGCGCGCCCAGTCAGGGACGCCCCCAGTGACCATCTTCCGGTCCGACTGTATGCTGCGGTCGGATTTAATTCTGACCGTGCATTCAGCCGCACAACACCTCTCCCTCCCCGTGCGGCGGTGTATCTGATAAGTACCGTGATCGGCGGTCACCTCGCTCACCTGCAAATCGCATTTTACGTTCTGGTTTTAACCGCGGCGGCCATCTTTTTGGTTTCTTGCCGTCGCGGCGGCCATTTTCTTCCGCCCTTTTACTCTGGAACGCCTACTCCGTCCCTTGATCGGAGTTGGTGTCCAGTATTAGTGGCGGACACTTCCCCTTTCTCCTGCTCCCCCCATTATTTTGATAAATAGCTGTGAGTAATTGTATTTGCCTTGCTTTTAATACTTATTGTGTTCTGGTATTTTAGCTGGGTTACTTAACCCTGCTCCCAACTCTTGCTATTAAAGTCATTAACGAATTTCTGCCTATCATTTAAATTGCACTAATGCAATCTTCTAATGATTTACCTGGTCCCTCAGGGACAACAGCTGACCCTCAAACTGCCTTGGGTTTTCCCCCTGTAGTTTCTGGGGATGAACTGGATTTCCCAGCATCAGAGGAAATTCAGGCTATCATGGACACTACTGTGTCCAAGTCTGTCTCTAAAGCCCTGGCATCTGCCATGGACATTATGTCTTCCTCTATTTCAAAATCATTTACCCAAGCACTAAGGCAGGCCCAACGAATGGTCCCTCCGACCGTCATGCCAGTCGAGATACCATCCATTTCTCACCCACCACGCCCCGGCCGCAAAGCCTCGGCAAATATCAAGCACTCCTCCAAACCAACGATGGACAGTAAAACACCTGTCACAGATGGCGTGAATATTGATCCACCGCGCAAAAGAGACTCTAGCCGGGCAAAAGCGGCTAGGCACTGGAAGTGGGCTAAAGCCCAACCTGATTCCACTGAGTCAGAACTCAGTTTAGATGAGGAGAGTGCCCCTACCCTAGACTCAGATCAGTCTAACGATTTGTCCGACCTAGATTCGGAGTACGGAATGGGTGAGGTGTGTAATCCCTCCACTAAAATAAATACCACTGGCACGTCCAGTTCTTATTTGAACAAACAGGGAAAAATCCTTGACCCGCAGGGCGAACCATTGTTTGAGCCTGATGACTTACGTCATGGAATGGTCACCGGCCGAGCATGTGGCGCAATATGTCGCTTCACGGGTCCGTAAGCCTTTGGACAAGGCAAAACGTAATAAGCTGAGGGCTGAATGTCCACGCCCCACCGTACCAGACGAGGTCTGTAAGACACCCCAAGTCGATCCCAAAATCATATAATTTTTAAGCAAAACTGGTTGGAAACCTAAGAAAGGTTTAGACTTTTCGCTTTATAATTGCCAAGACAAAGTCTTGGATATCTTCGGTCCAGCGACCAAAAGTTTTGAAGCTGTGGAGGAATCCTTAGCGCAAGATGAAGCCTTAAATTGCCTCACTATTAGAGGTTGGATTCAGAGGGTGATATGCCTCATAGGCAATGCCAATACGGCTCTTGCTACAGAGCGTCGTAAATCTATTCTAATTAAAATAGAACCCAAGCTCGTAAATATGGCAATTACTGAGCCAGGAGCCCAAGCAAACATTTACTGCCTTAGACAAGGCACAATCAAATCTAAAAAGGGTGTTCCACCCAAAGGTTTTTGGTGGGGCCGGCAGAGCAAGGGGACGTCTGTCCGGCAGAGTCAATAGAGGCTCGCGCCCGAGCCGAGGCTCCTATGTGGGGAGACCCCCCTTTCCCGACCAAAGGTCCGCTCCGACCTTCTTCCTCCAACGAGGCAGACCTTGGGTGTCGAGAGGTGCACGAGGCGCTCCTTCCGGAAGACGTTCTTACGGTAAGCTACCTTTCTCAATTTTCTTCACATGTGGCGATAGGGGGCAGACTCACACATTTTTCCCCATGTCTGGGCTCTCATTACCTCAGATGCCTGGATACTCAGGGCTGTCCACGGGTACCTAATAGACTTTATATCCCTACCCACCCAGGGAGATTGTTTTTTCCCCTCTAGACACGACCCTCGTCTCCGAGGAAGTCCGAGACTTGGCACTCAAAAGGTGCTATTCAAGAAATCCCGATGCATACCCCGGGTTTTGTGAGCAACCTATTTATTGTCCCAAAAAAAGGGGGGCGGATCCCGCCCAGTTATCAATCTCAAACACTTAAATACCTACGTAACCTACCATCACTTCAAGATGGAAGGCATTCATTGCCTACGAGATTTGCTCCAGCCAGCAGACTGGATGGTCAAACTCGATCTAAGAGACGCTTACCTCACGGTACACATTGCGCAGGTGCACCAAGATTTCCTGCAATTCACATGGCAAGGAAGGAAATGGCGGTTCCGCTGCCTTCCCTTCGGTCTGTCTTCCGCACCTTGGTGTTTCACCAAGTTCATGAAGCCCGTCATTGCTCTCCTACGCAGTCGGGGGATACGCCTAATCATATATTTAGACGACATCCTACTGCTGTCCCAGTCAGTTTCACTACTCCATATTCTCCTCGGTTGGACCACAACCTTGCTACAGAATTTGGGATTCATCATAAATTGGGAAAAGTCCATCCTAGTCCCCACTCAACAAATAGAGTTCCTAGGATTCTTGGTGGACTCAGTTATGCAAACCTTGTATTTACCAACACCCAAGATGAAAAATATCAAGGAAGAGATAAGACGAGTTCTTACCTGCCCACATATATCTCTCAAACATCTGGCCCGCGTGATCGGGCTCCTAGCAGCCTCTATATACAGGCCATATTTCCAGGCCCCCTTCATTACAGAGCCCTCCAACGCCTACAGGCGTCATACCTCAGAGGCGGCGCCTCATACGAGGATACTCTGACTCTAGACGCAGAAGCGAAAGAAGAACTCCACTGGTGGCTCCTACACGTGGAGGCGTGGAATGGCAAAGCCATCTTCGGCTCGGCTCCAGATGTAGTCATAGAGTCGGACGTGAGCTCTTACGGTTGGGGTGCGCGCTGCAGAGATATTTCCACAGGTGGACGCTGGTCGGAGGAAGAGTCCACGCTGCATATAAATTGCCTGGAACTCCTCGCAGGGTCCTTTGAGATTCGCAGCCTCTCCCCGACACTGTCCCAATGCTCAATCTTACTGAAGATGGACA